CCTATTGCAATCAAAATGGTTCTAAATTATATTCCAAATGGTGATTACAGATTAGATTCTGATGTTTAGATGTTTTTACAGCCAAGTTTGTTAGTTCCCTTAGTTACATCTAATCATTGTCCAAACATGCCCTAGCAGTATCTTTTTCCTCTTCTCATGCCTTCTCATCTCCAACCCATGAATGAGATAGGCTTTAGTAACCCTCCCTTTGACATTAAACAAGGGGAACCTCTTGGTCAGGGGTGTCAAACGCAAGGCCCAGGGGGCTGATCCAGTCCACAGGATGCTTAGATCTGGCCCACAGGCCCACCCTAGAAACAGCAGAGGACCAGCCCACAGTGCCTCTGCCAGTGAAGACAAAGCTAAGAAGGGCTGCCTGTAGCCCTCTTGAGCTCCATTTTCACTGGCAGAAAATTGCAGGTGGCCATCACAGCCAAAACGGAGCTCGGGAGCCCGTTTTCACTGGCAGAGCACCTGGACCACCACAGGCACTGACACGAGTGACGTCGAGCTGGCCATGCCTACCCGGCCCCACAAGGTCAAACACAACCCTGATGAAATGAAATGGAGTTTGGCACCCTTTTATAACCTTCTGAGTCAATGACAGTCTCCTGGACCACTCTGGTGGCCCCGTTTTGGGCCTTGAAAGTATTCTGGACCACTCCAGAGGCTCCATTTTGGGCCTGGACAGCCTCCCAAAGGACTCTGGAGGCCAAAAGCGGTTGTAAGGGGACGCAATTTTGCTAGCAGAGGCACCATGGACCCTTTGGTATTTCCAGACTGGCCCCACAGGTCAGATCTAAGCACCTCATGGGCCGGATCCGGCCTTCAGGCCTTGAGTTTGACAACCCTGCTCTAGGAAGTAGAAGCAAACCCATGTTATTTTCCTGGCCTTATACAATTTAATTCCCAAATTAAAATATCTCTGCTTTTATAATTCTACATCAGATAAGGATCCAATACAGGAAAAAATGACATTCAATAGATATATTTTCATTTACTTTGAAAAACATTACTTTTACAAATGAAGGCAAATACGTGTGTCTCAGGATAATGTTGCAGGTTCCAATCTGGATTGGTCACTGGGACCAGAGGTTTTGTCTTCAGAGCTTTCTTATGCTGGAGCCCATCCTCAGGTAACTTCTCTCTCACCAATTAGAGAGACACATCCTGGTGAGAGAAAAATTCCCTGAGGATGTCTAACTCCCAGAGAGCAGTATCTTACATATTTATGGAAATTTGTGATCAAGAAAAGTCAATAGATATCCATAGCACAGATGGATAGTTGCTTTCACAAAGGAGTTCCGTCACTTGGAATGAGATATATTTACAATTTTAAGATTAATCAGACTCTGTAGATGTATTACAGAAACCTGATGCTACTTCCTTTAATATGCTTGCCCAATTAGATAGGCTTTCAAAACTTTTAGGCATAGCATATAGCGCATAGCATAGCAAATAGCATAGCATAGGGCCAAAATAGTTTCAAAATAACAATGAAAAGATGAAACTTTTAAAATTCCAGATGTACAATAAAGTATTCATAAGTACTATGAAATATTGATAAGAATTCCAGGAGACTGTTCATAATTAACCCTATTAATGACATAATTGTTTCCCAGGAAATAACATATGTATATTTTCTGATGGCCATTTATATATATATATATATATATATATATCACTTTTAAAAGATTCTACAAAGAAACTAGAAATAGAAAAGCAACAACAGAAAATCAAATATATAAGAACAATAAAATATATCAATATAAAGTAAACACTGTCAATATTAGATGGATAACTTGACTGCTCTCTTATATCTGAAAAAGTTTTTCTGCTAACTCAAGGAAAGAAAGATCCTCCAGCACAGAGATTAAGCTACAATTTTCTGCCTCATATATGTAATTTTGTATATGAAATAAGGTAGGTTTAGGTTTTGTTTGGAGCCTATATGATTACAAACTAATAGAGCTGAAAGCAAACTGGCAAATATAGATTTTCAGCTCTCACTACTATTAGCTCATTGATCAGAGGAATCAAATCCCAGCTTTATTAGCAGTTCGCTTTCAGATTTAAAATGGGTTAATAATTCCTTTAAAGTACAGTTAAGTCTGTGTTACTACTTCAATCTTCATTGTCAAATTTGCACAGTATCTCATGCAAAGCAGGTGTTCTATTCCAATATCCTGTAACACTATATCTTAAATATTTATTGTAGATAGGTGAGGTCTGGCTTGATTTCTTCTTGTTACTAAGCATCAAACCATGATCTCCATTTTGAGTTTTGTGTAATTTTTTTTCAAAAGTAGAATGAAAAGAAGGGAAAATCTTTATTACATGTTAAATTTTCATGTCCATGTGAGGTTGATCCTCAGTATTATTTTAATGTTAGTCTTCTGGAGTAAATTAAAAGCTGTTGTCTTATGGTGAACAAGTCTGTCCAAACAGAAATCACACATTTGTTTTTGCTGAGTGGTAAAGCCACATGGCAAAGTTTATGATAGCACTATATGACCATGCCATTTCCAGCTCTGAAATGTTTCATGATTCATAATGTGCAAGCATAGTTTAAAAGTGAGGGCATACTCCTTCATTTATTTTCAATAATTCATTCACCGGGTGAAAGGGAAAAGGCTAAAAACACCCTATTTTATGCTGTTCAATTATTCTTAGCAATTTGTGGCTAGCTGATGGTGTGAGAAGCTAGTGTTCAAATAGGGCATCACAAGATGTTTGAAACCACAGCGTGGCAGCTTTCAATTTCTTTCCTTGTACCGCACCAAAGGAATAGCAACATTCTTCCATGTGCTTAGTTCTATGCTGGCTATATTCGTATATAGCCAAGCATTTATATTTTGTAAGCCGCCTTGAATCGCCATGGGCGAATAGGTGGCAATATAAATTTAATAAATAAATAAATATACTGCCAGTCCAAAATATGTTGGGTTTAGCGGTATGTGTGATCACAGTCACTGTCATACCATAGAGGCTGTCATTTTCAGCAAGAATAGGCAATCTGTATACCATGATCCATTCTACTGCAGCTGTCTTGGATAGGTTCACTGAACTTCCTTGTGTTTTTATTTAGTGTGCTGGATGGAAGGCTTTTCCACATCCAGGATAACTACTACATATGCATTTTCTACTTTTCTTTATCACTTTTACACCACCTGAAACTTCTATTCTACACAAAAAATTACTAAATTTTAAGACCAACAACATATTCCTATACTCAGATATAAATCACATGGATTCCAATGGAAACTACTCAGGGGTGGGATACCACAGGGTTAACTACTGGTTTGGTCATTTATGAGGTTCGGTGATTTATGAAGTGCTTCCCTGCCTGCTGCTAGCACACCTGTAAATCGTCATCAGCACGCTGCATGTCCAGAAGCAGCCTTTGAAACAGCCCTCTTTTCCTGCTTTTTAAACTGCAGCTGTGTCTCATTTGGCAGCTGAAGTTGAAAAATCAGGAAATAAAGATCAGGTAAGAGCCCAGGTGGGCAAAAACATCAGCAGACATAGAACCGGTTCTATGTCTGCTGCTCTTCAGAGCTACCGGTTCTACAGAGGTGGTCAGAACCGGTAGAAGCCCACCCCTGAAACTACTTCCAATCCAGATAAAACAGATTTAGGATTGCAGCTTCAGATTCTCTAAACCCCTGGTGTTAGATTCAAATGAGATCTTTCCTGAACTACCAAGTATCTGCTTTCACGCACTTGAAACCAATGTTGCATTCTTGTTTATGCACCATTCAGAGCATCCAGGTCAAAGGAGTAATTAAAAAGCAAAGGCTGTATTCAGTAACTAGGCAGCTTTAAATTCAGTTCTACCAAGTAATGTTAGTGTTGGCTAACTTTTGGCTCGTTTGTAAGGGCTTTTTATGATTTGCATTCAAATGCCATAGCTCCACGATATTGCCTTCATCTCAATATCAATCCATGACTGAGATATCTCTTCCCCCCCCCCTTTTTTTTTGAGTCTCTCCAAGAGCAGCTGTGAGTTACGTTAAAATGACTTAACAGAAGCAGGACTGAGGCTAGCAACAGACTGCAAATTACATGCTGATATACTGTAATTTTTTTGCAGCATAGACATAAGGAAGAGCGTGGCTCCCCAGCAGAGAGTAAGGCCCATATAATCCCCCCCAACTGCTGTTGATGAAGTACGATAACCTGACCTTGCTGGAAAATGAGCTTTTTCAGGGGGGTATCACCTCTGTAGGCTTCTACCAGGGGAGAATCATTTGCACTTCCCATTAAAAATGTTCCATCATGAGGGGATTGTATTGTTAATTTGTAATTTCTGGCCTATTTTATTATTGCTCTGCCAATAATTTTTATATTGTTTATTGAGTCCTCCCTGAAAGCCTACTTAAAAATAAACACAATTTGAAAACATTCTCATTGGTTGCTCCTACTCCAAATATCAGAAAGTAATAAGAATAAACTGCTTTCGGGCAACTTTCTCCCCTTTTCTTCAAAACCCACCACCACCACCTCTTTGATCCATCGCCGCCAATCACCGGAGTAATATGCTGAGCTGAACCACAGTCAGCTTACTCCTGGCTTAGCATGTCAGCTCAATCCACCTAATTGTGATTGGCTTGTGATTAGCTTGTGCAACCTCTGAACTCAGCAAACCTGTTCAATAAACCCCGATGACACAAACCATACCTTGCGAAAGAAGAGGGAAAAGGTGGGCGGTTAATGACTTTACATAAGAATCAGTCAAGACAGTACAACGTATCTTCTGAAGAGAATTTTCCCGTGATTTCCACCGTGAGCCACATACACACAGGCAGACCAGGCTTGCTTCTGGCGTTTGGGCACGATTTTCCAAAAGTCTCTGGGATCTCGGAAGGTGGTAGCAGAGGCTACGCCAAAGCGGTAAGAAGTTTGCACTTTGTTTTCTTTCCGAGACGGTGTCGAATTACAGAGAAAGAAAACCAGCTTGGGCAGAGGCGAGGGGGGCCGGGTGGCTGGGATCAGCCTCCTTGTTAATATTTTTTTGTTTTTTCCCCCAGCAATCCCCCCAGGCTGCCCGAGAGAAAAAGGAAAGGGACTCCTAAGAAGAGGCTGCAATCTGCCCCTGCCGGCCGCCCGGGCCCTGGTTGCAGGCTGACTGGCTGGCTGAGGACATGCAGCTACAAGGCCCGCCACGCAAAGGCGAGGAGACGTGGATGCCGCGCTATAAATATGCCACGCAGGCAAAGCGCAACAGGCGACTTCTCCTAGCTCGAGATGCGGGCGAACTCCAGGGCGAGGGGGCTCCGCGTGGCGCTCCTCTTGTCGCCTCTGTAGGTTAAGGAGGCCCGGAGGCGGCGGGAAAAAAAAAAGGCTTTTTGCAGAGGCGAGACAAACTTTCTGCGAAATGAATAAATTCCGGAAGGTTTGCCGAGGCAGCGGGAGAGCCCTGGCTTTGATCTTCGCAGCTTCGGTGGTTTGGCTGCTCTTTGACATGGCAGCCCTCAAGTTGTCCTTCGGCGAGAGCGGCACCAAAGTGCTGCAAGGGGAGACGGGCGGGAAGCAAAAGGGGCCCGGGCGAGTTTGGCGCAACTCCGAGGACGGCGCGGGGAGGTGGTCCCGAGAGGAACCCGAAGCTTCCCCGCCGTTCGCGGGACAAGACGAGAAGAAGCTTTCTAGGAACAGCGAAGATGCTGGCCGGGACGCCGAAGGGAGAGGGGGGCAGCGCTTATCCCCCGGCGCGACCCCGGCCAAAGCAGCGCCCGGGAAGATACCCGGCCTGCGTGACATATTCCCGCTGAAATGGCAGCGGCTGCCAGCTCAACCTTTCTCCCGCGCCCCCGAGAAGAAAGTCAACGGGGCGGCAGCCACCGGCGGCGACCCCCGGCAGACAAAGCTGGCTCTGGCCCGGCGGGAACAGGAGCCCCACTCAGTAGTGGCTGGAGGGCGAGCGCCTGTCAACCCAACTCTTCTAAATGGAGTCCCTCAGAGGACCGCGGGAGAAGCAGAGGTGTTAGTGCACACAGAGTTCACAGAGACAGGGGCTTTGGCTGGGTTCAAACGTGGTGGCCCCCCTGGAAACATGCCTGAGGAATGGCAGGGCAGGCCTGGGCTTCCTAAAGCCAATGGGCCTGAGGGGCTAGTAAGAACGGTAGAGGTGCCCGAGGTCATGGAAAGGTGGGATTTACCTGCGGGCAAGCTGAATACCTCGACATCGGAGAAGAAGGAAGTCTCCCTGAATAAAATTGCTCTGGGAGACCTGCCAAGCAGGAAGAAGGCAAAAATACCTCCTGCAAAGGATGCTCTAGCAGAAAACCAAAAGGTCTTTGTAACCAAGGAGCTGGTCCCTATGTTTTTTCCAACAACTCAGCACCTCCAACCCAGCACCAAAGGACTTAAATTGATGGGAAAGTATGTACAGCTGCCAGGTGAGAAAAACAGCAATAAGGGGGAAACCATCAATGCAACCAGAAGAGATGGCCTTATTAAAACCAGGACTACGGAAGGGATCCTTGCCAGAGGAGGAGCATTGGGGAAGGTTGACAAAGGCCATTTAGCAGGCGAAGAGCAATTCCCCAAACCTAATCAGAGTAACGTGGATGTTGCAGAAAATTCTAGGCTGCACAAAGTGTTCACCATCGATAGGACCCTGACCCCAAGAGACCCCAGAGCACCTGGTCAATTTGGGCGCCCTGCCAAAGTCCCAGGTGAGAAGGAGGAAGAAGCCAAAAGGAGATGGAATGAAGGGAATTTCAATGTCTACCTCAGTGACTTAATCCCAGTTGATCGTGCCATTGATGACACAAGACCTGCTGGGTAAGCTGTAACTACTTGTGCTGCACAGCACACATTTAGGCCAGCGCAATTGCTGATTTATCAAATGCTTGTCTAGAACAGGAATTCTGGGGGGGGGGGGTGTCCATGAATTTGGATATATTATATAAATATTATACCATATAGTTCTTTTTTTCATACAGTATTTGATAACTGCATAATTGAACATAATTGACTTGCTTTGTAGTAACATCTATATCTATATATTTGTATGCATTTAAATATGTAACACACATTTAAGTATTATATATGCCACCCAGTCATTTTGTGGACATTTTGTCCAAAAGAGTTTGTAGGCTTCATGGGACTCTCAAAGAAGTCTATGAAACAAACAAACAAAAAGCCAGTTTGGTCTAGTGATTGAATCAATAGAAACCCAAAACCTCTGAGTTCAAGTCCCTCCTATGGGCTGGATGACTTTGGGTCATTCATTGTCTCTCAATCCAATCCACCTCACAAACACAGGGTGCTTGTTGTGAGGAAAAGAGGAGTATTAGGTATGCTCACAGCCTTTTGAATTATTTATAAAAGTAAAGACAGGATAAAAAAAATCTGAAAAGAATAAAGACCCTTGGTTCAGATGTAGTCCTTTAGAAAGAGATACTATATTAAATATACAATATTTGCAAAAGCACTTAATAAGTAACATAAATTACATAACATAAATTTGCACCAGCAAATTAGTAATAAGCATAATTAGCAATATGTGGAGTGGAATTAACTTTTAAAGTTTTCCTCAAAGCCAACAAAGTCTATATATGCTTTTTGGTGGGGTGGGGAATATCCAAACAATGTGAGGCCACTATATAGAAAAGGCCTCCCTCAATACTTTAAAAAAAAATTACAGAACATCAGATGTTAGCCCTGAACCTCAAATAGTAGAGTTTAAAATTGTTTAAGGACTTAGAGTCTCCTATGAGTACTTTAAATTTAGTATTTTTCATAGAAGTACATTGGGCAAATGGAAGTACTGAGCAATGCCAATCCTTTAAATGTTTGTTCAGAAATTAGTCACAGGATATTTGCTTTATCTAATTTTCTGGTGAGTGTACATAATTTTGTGAGATGAGTGCATTTAAAATAGTGTGTCACAATTGAAACATAGCTATGGATTTTTATATCTGGAATCTTGTTAGTTGAACTGTACAACTAGAATATTCATGCTGATACTAAGATGCACATGGAAATTGGAAACTGGCCCATCAGATTAGATATCAATACTACCAAAAAAGTTTAACTGAGTGATGTGCTGAATTGTGTAAACACACCAACATATGCATACATACAAATGGTTTGTGTAGCCTTGACAATGGAACACAAGGATTTCCTTTCTGCTTATTTCAAAGAACAAAGTTGGCCCTTAGAGGAGCAATTTTCCTGCAAGAAGAACTTTGCTTTGGCAGCTATCACCTCAAAAAGAAAACAGAAGTTTGAAACCAGTCTCAAGAGTATCCATCACTGCCCCTGGTGCTAAACCAGCAAAGGGCCACAGACATCCAGACAACTCATTGTTTTCTGTAAACTGCCCAGAGTCACTTTATGAGTGAGATAGGCAGTATTTAATTTTTATAAATGAACTAGCTCGATACCCGTGCTTCACTATGATACTATGTGGTCGGGCTTAATTTGGGGGGAGGAAAATAAGGGGGGGTTGTGCCTCTGCCTACCAGTATCCATCGGTATTTATCTGGCTAGCGTCCTGTCAGTGTGTGAGAGAGTTGAGGACTGTTTGGAAAGTGAAACAGTATTTGCTGTGTGAGCAAGAAGGAGCAAGGAGCCTGGGTGTGGCTTTGCTCAACTGTTCTGTACTAAAGCTGCTTGGTGCTCTGAAACAGAAACTGAAACTCCTTTCCTCTGCTTGTGTTTTGCTTTTGGAAGAGATTTCAGGTGGGGAGGGGGAGTAGAACTCCTTAGCACAGAGCCTGTTAATAATAATATACAAAATACTAACGCTTTGTTGGACATTTTGAAAAATCCTTTCTTAGTGAGTACCTAGAAGCCAAGAGGAACATATGTGCCAAATTTCAAGTTTGTAGGCTTTACGGTTCTGGAGTTTTTGTGATGATGTGTGAGTGGTATTTCGCTTTTATATAGAGAGATTAGTTTTTGAGGGGTCCTTGGTGCTCTCTGAGCTTGCTTGTTGTCTTGCAGATGTTTCATTACCCTAACTAGGTAAGATCATCAGTCCTAGTAAGGAGTGCTGTTTGCTGTCATTTTTTATTCTGGTGTTTTGCCAATCTGTATGGGTGGGGTTGGTCTTAGGGATTCTTTGGTTGGGGTATTTACTGATAGCTCGTTGGCAGCTTCTTGATTGGGTATTGCTTACTTGATTGTTGGTCTGAAGTTGAACTTAGTTTTCTCCAAATGTTCCCAGGCATGAATGCATTACATAGTCCTCCTGTCCTCATCCTGCTTCTGTATTCAGCATACTTTCCTTTGTTTAAATGTCATTTTTTGGTTATAATTCTTTTTGTTAAAAAAAAAGTTCAATTAGTTTTTTTATTCTGTTGTAGGGAGAAGAGTTGTATAGTATTAAGCTGAAAGCTATAGTTTACAAATCTTGGTGATTCGGGTTAGACAATATAAGCCACCACCCCCTCAAACCAGCACAACCGTAATATGGCTTCCTGTGATGTGTGAACTCAGCCACAGAATCAAATCAGTGGCGGACTGTCATTATTTCATTTTAACGCAGGCTTTCAGAGCCGTGCAAAACAGTATTACCCATGCATGATAATCTGCTAATAGAGAGAAGTGCACTGATTTGAGAATTGCATATATTTAAAACAGCATTTATGTGTCTTAAACAGTTGGTTTCTGGTACCTAAGTCAGAAAATACCTGGTGCTGTTTTAACCTATAAAGCACGCATGACTTAGTCACTGTTGAATTGCAGGATCAATCTCTTTAAGAAGGCTGCTCACCCTATTTGAGTTTAAGGGGTTCTTGCATCTTCACTGGGGAACACTTGGGACTCTGAGATGGTGGTAGGAGAGCCCTCATCTTACTTGTGTTTGCAAAGCTATGGGGACCATCAAGATTTTGGCCTGAACTTTTTGGACTTGAGCTCCAGGTGTAATTTATTTGCATGGATGCTCACTTTTTAAAAACCCTGTTATAAAATGTTTGAGCAGTACAGAAATATTGTGATAAATAAATTTGATAAAAGCCATGCAAAACAGGGTTTTCAGAAGCCTTTGAGGAAGATAATTAGCTTCTCATTCTTGAGATAAATTCTTCTACCTAAAAGCTGTTTTCCACCTCCCTTTTTTTTTTCTGCCAGTCTAACTGAACATGAAAGTAGATAGGCCAACAAATGCTGTCTTTGAAGCACAGGGACGTTAATAAAGGCACCAGAGAGCCTTCAATTAATCTGTCTTGGATGTTGTCATAGATACATGTTGGTATATCGCCTGCGGAAACTGTAGTTTGGCATTCACTTTGTAAATTAGATTATTTGTACAATGCACTGTTGTTGTCTTGTGACTGGCACTTGATATCCTTGGATTTGGGTAGAGATAGTGGTGCATTATGGCAATATTTGGGCAGTCTTCAGAGGCACCTTGACAGAGTGAAGGCTCTAAAATGCAATAGGATCACTTGAATAGACTATGAAGCCCAGAATGGCAAAGGGCAGAGAATAATGTTTCCCATCAACTGCTATTTGATCTGTGTTTTAATCAGAGATGCCAGTCATTGAACTAAGAGCCTTGTCATGTAAAACAGATGTGCTCCCATTGAGCTACAATCCACTATTTTTTCCAACAAAACAACCCAGAACACACACAAAAAAGTTTTCCATCTAGGTTGGGAGGATAGGATCAACCACCCTATCAAACATTGGTGAAAAATGATCAGGGGAACGGATTCTCTGTGGGAGGAGTTCTTTGGTAGGTTGCCCTGGCCTTCTCAAGATCTGCTGGAAGATATATTAGCCCTAAGGGGTAAAGATTCCCAGAAGGCATCCATCAAACCCTTAGCTGAATTGCAAATAGAAATCGAGAAAAATGCTTTCCCTTCAGCCTTTTGTTCATGCAGAGAAGACCTGACCAAAACCTTTGACTCTTCTTCTATTTTTTTCCCCTATACCAGTATGATATAAAATGACAAATTCAATGAAATGAGAGAAATCTTTATCACCGGCTAGAGATGTACAGATTTTCTGCCATACTTCTTTGATAGGCTTAGTGGGTCACGTTGAAATGTTGCTTGCTTTGAGGCTGTCAATAACACCTTAGTGTTCGCTGACTATGTTGTAGGGGAGGAGGAGGAGAAGCTTTTATTTGGACAATATGACCGGAAAAACAGTCTTGCAAGTGGTTTGTTTTTTTTTCCCCTTCTTTTTTTCTAAAGGGCGCCAGCTCTCCAAATATATCAATTTATTCTACTAAATATATGCAAACAAAACAGTTGAGCATCATGAATGTTAGTAATACTCCTAGAAATTAAAGTCTTGCCTGGGTATAAGTGAATCTTGTTTTCTTTGACATAGCTGCACTTTGTTTGGCTGTTTGAAGAGGGAGCTAATGCATAGGAAAAAAAAAGAAACAATATACATACTGGAGCACTTTAAATGCACCCATTTTTCTGGTGTTGAAAGCATTCTTGGGAACAAGGGTCTGACTCAGTATAAGGCAACTTGCTACGTTCCTTCACTTTTTGCATGTACATACATTTCAGGCCAGTCCATTCCCACCTCATTTCATGTTTATTCTTTAGAGACTTAGCATTCAAAAAAGACTGGCTTTAGGTTTGCAGGGATATTAATGTGGGACCGCAGGATCCATACACTTTATTTGTGATTTTTGAAGTGTATGTATATTTTGAAGTGTAAAATGTCCATTGCTTTCCGTTTATCTTATAGAGGAGATGGACAGCATTAAATTTAAATAAAACAAAGAAGATAAATAAAAATTATCAACGGCACATCTTTTCTGTTTCTGTAGCTGTCACTTCTATGAGGCTCTCTTTCTGGAATATCTT